ATCAATGATAGTCTAAATTGGAAACAACATATCTCAGACCTGAAAAATAGATTGTGCAGCAACATATTCGTTCTTCGGCGACTGAGAGGCCTGATAGGAACAAGGACTCTGCTTATGGTCTATTTTTCTTTGTTGCATTCGCACTTATGCTGTGGGGTGATTCCTCAGCTGCTGTGGAGATTTTTAGAATGCGAGTCGTTGCTAATATAGGATATAGGGACCATTGTCAACCTTATTTTAAAAAATTTACAGTGATGCCCCTTCCTTGCATCTATATCTACTACCAGTTATTAGAGATACAAAGAACGAAAGGAAATTTAGCGCTAATTCTGATTGCCATGGCTATCCAACTCGTTCGGGAGATCTCCTTAGACGGCCTAGGTTTAGATCGAGGAAGTCTGAGAGCAACTCGTTGAACCTGAAATTGTATAATGTTTTGCCAGGTACCGTGAAAAAGATGAGCAATAGAAAATTTAAACATACTATTAAAGAATTCCTACAATGTCATTGTTTTTACTCCCTGCGAGCTTACATTGACACTGTCACTGGTATCGATGCGCTATAAAACTGTATAATACTGTATACTTTTGTTTGTATTAGATGTGTGTTTTTATGTTATTTTTTAATGTGATTTTATTACAGTTGAATATAACTTCTGACTTGCTGCAATTGTACGTTCCTTTTGTACGAAACATAGTCATTAAACTAATCTATCTATCTATCGCAACTTCTCTACTTTTCTACTTTTTCGATAAATCGGTCCCATGGATATCTGTCGACCTGTACATTGCGCTGGTAATGTTGCAGACGATAAGGTCCCTTATTGGTTGTTCTTCGTGGATCACTAGTGCTTCGTGAACCCCCATGCCTTACTTGCATGGCTGCGATGTACCTACATCTCAAATATGCGATTTGAGATTTTTAATGTCATAGTTTCAATGCTTTTCGAATACTAAATCGAAAACGGAGAATTGGAAGTGGAATGCGACTGAAGGAAACGAACAATTCAAACGACTGCTACGCCATGAAAATATAAAATATCGGTACGTTTGGATGATAAACCCGGCAGTCCCGTGGGATGACTTTTAAAAAGGGACCTCAGGCCCTTTTAGTATAGCACCAAATGTTTATGTGGAATGTCGTATTAGATCGTGTTAAATTTAAACTGTCGATGTGGTGCAATACCGTTTGATTTCCTTTCTTATTTATTGCCTTTTATGCTCGTAATTTTTGTGCAAATTGAATATTTGTAAACTAATAAATTCATTAACCCATCAGCAAGTTAAACAGTATGTTTTTACCTTCCGGATTTTCACTTTGCAGCTGCGTCGAATTTAAAACGAGAGAGATATTATTAATCCTGCTACATAAGACGAAAAACATAAGGGGTGTTTTTTTTCGATGTATAGAACTTTAAGTTGCAATAAAACAACGATGGATTATTCGATTGACGTGAATTTCTGGCATATGACCGCCACGGCTGGCGCGGATGTAGTCCAATCTGGACGTCCAATTTTCGATGACTTTTTCCAACATTTGTGGCCGTATATCGGCAATAACACGGCGAATGGTGTCTTCCAAATGGTCAAACGTTTGTGGCTTATCCGCATAGATCAATGACTTTACATAGCCCCACAGAAAGTAGTCTAGCGGGGTGTTTAAATCACAAGATCTTGGAGGCCAATTCACAGGTCCAAAACGTGAAATTAGGCGGTCACCAAACGTGTCTTTCAATAAATCGATTGTGACACGAGCTGTGTGACATGTTGCGCTGTCTTGTTGAAAGCACATCTCCTGGACATCATGGTTATTCAATTCAGGAATGAAAGAGTTAGTAATCATAGCTCTATACCGATCACCATTGACTGTTACGTTCTGGCCATCATTGTTTTTGAAGAAGTACGGACCAATGATTCCACCAGCCCATAAAGCACACCAAACAATCAGTTTTTCTGGATTTAACGGTATTTCGACATACACTTGAGGATTAGCTTCGCTCCAAATGCGGCAGTTTTGTTTGTTGACGCAGCCATTCAACCAGAACTGCGCTTCATCGCTAAACAAAATTCGCTTATGAAAATCGGGAACAACGGCAATCTCGTTTTGGGCCCATTCGACGAATCTACGCCTTACTTGATGATCGTTTGGCTTCAATTCTTGCACGAGTTGGATTTTGTAAGCACATAAACCAAGATCCTTCCGCAAAATCTTCCATAAAGTGGATGGACACAGATCCAATTCCTGTGCTCGATGGCGGATGGACTCATTCGGGTCTTCCTCAAAGCTACGCTCTACAGCAGCAATAGCTTCTTCTGTACGCATCGTACGGCATCTCTGGGGGGGGATGCGAGTTATCAATAAGAGTAAACGTTAATGGTTAATCGAATTAACTGCTCTGATGGACGATTTTGTCGACGATAAAATGGACGTAGTGCGCGATACGAATTCCGCACAGAACCATTATTTTCGAAATAAAATTGTACTATTTGCAAGCGTTGTTCAGGCGTGAGTCTATTCATGATGTTCTATGCATCGAAAAAAAAAAACACCCTACAAAGAAATTGTTTGTTGTAGTTTTCCTATTATATACGCCTTCTTTTTGTATTAAATTTCTGGAAAATTACCGTGTGCTAAAGTAGATTGAAAGCTAAAAAATAATTACAGTATGTACTGAAACAGCTCAATTTAATCTCAGCACGAAACGGATAAATTCAATGGTAAAATAGTGAGTTTAAAAGCGGCAAACGCCCCAAACTATGTAAACCGAGTCAAGGGTGTCTATAGAATACCGCAACACCGACTAAATAAACCGATTATAAGCTTCTGAACGTTCGATAATAATTAACCTTTAGTCATAATCCTACGTATTAGATACCCGAGAACACGGCTACATCCAACGTCAATGAATTTAATTTCCGGTGAAATGTATGAACCCCTTTCTGTTTTAATCGGTACTTTTCCGATACCAGCCATTTAAAAATTAAAAAACATCGATTTTGTTCGCTCCTTGCATAGTGTATGCCAGATAGGGAATCTTGAGAACCGACCTATATATTTCTCTCTTTGGACAACGTTTTTATGCGAAATTTAATAGTACAACTACGAAACATTTTTCGAAAGCCCTGGGAATTTATTTTATTTGACTGAATACGTTTATTCCTGGGATAGATTTTAGATAGATTAAACTTTCCGTATGGGTTTTTTGAAATGGTAGAAAACATATTTAGTTTTTCTTGCGGCATGTAGCATTATCCTGTCGCAATAACGGACGTTTATGCAATTTTCTAGGCAGTTTTCTGCCTTTCACCAAATAATTCCTGAAAATAATCCTTTCGAACCCAAACAAATGGAGGTCTGACGGTAATATAGTTTAAACTGTTTGCATATTGCATCAGAGGGAATCTGTGACAGATTCCATGTAACAAGGATTAACAGCGTGGTGTCTGATAAGTTAGAAAACGATACGGGTGTGCCCCAGGGCAGTGTATTAGGGCCTTTGCTTTTTATTCTATATGTGAACGATTTAGACAAAATTTAGAAAAAGTTTTCTCAACCTTTTCGCGGATGACACTTTGCTATCAATTTCTGCGAAAAATTACTTAGAACTGGTAGACAATGTGAACTCGGAATTAAGGGTACTTAGTAACTGGTTGTGAGGAATTAAACTTAAGTTAAATTTAAATAAAACGGCATATAGTTGAGAGTAAACAAAATTTTAATGTATTTTTGGATAATAATTGTAAGATTATATTGATGGTAGGTTAATAGCAAATGAAATATCTGAGAGTAGTCTCTCAATTCAATTTCTCGCGATATGTAGATTATGTTTGTAAAAAATTTGGAAAGGATAGGTTTCTTGCGTAGACTTTTCCCTGAGCTTAGCCACTGGAGCAGACGTCTTGTTTTGAAAGCGATTATCAGCCGTCATTTTTGGTATTGTAATTCACTGTTTATTTATTTTGAGAACGGTGATGTTCATAAAATACAAGTGCAACAAAATAAAGCCACGCGGCCTGTTCTGGGTTGTACACGTTACACCCCCATTCGTGTAATGCTTGGGTCCTTAGGGCGGTTGTCGGTGTCTCATAGAATTGAGTTCTCTAGTGGTTTGCTGATATATAAAATAAAAAAATAAATTACGCCTGAATCAGACTGAACAGTATCACGTTAGATAGTTGCATAAACATGTCAAGGCTTGTCTGGTACCAATAACCAATAACCTATAAGTTTTGCGCAATTTAATTATAGCACAATTCTCAGAACTTTGGAAACATATCTCGATATTCATTCATTCATTCATGCATTCTTGTTAGTCCCTTAGGATAGTAAGGAGCTTTTTATGGATATTTTTATTGGGATGGGATGTTCAATTAATTTCAGTTTACCATTTACTGCAACAGAAAACGGAAAATCGCCTAAAAGAAACCGAAACAACACGTCAATATTGTTCACGCGTGCCATTTTTTAAAAGCCTCCGTTCGTCGTGTCGAGATTGTTTTGATGAATATCTCCATTCTTTTTTTTTAATGCCCTCCGAGGGTTTTTTTACCGCTCGGCCCAAAAAACTGGGGGGGCGCATTTGTCACCGACCGAAGAAAGGGCGAGATAAATCGACCCTAATCCGGTACGGGGAAAAGAAGTGGCAAAAAGTCGCATAAAATAAAAACCGGAAGCGCCTTTCCCTTGCGATCTGTTTGCTGGGGGTGGGGGGGCAGTTTTCTTTGAATATTCATCTTACCACTTTGAAATAATTTTTTCATTCCGCTTTTAATGTAAGGTGCGGTCTATTTTAAGGGTCAGCACGTCATCCGCTTTTATCTGGACTCAATTCGATTTGGATCTCTTCTTTCTTTTTTTTTTTCCCCTATTAAATTATCGCCGTTACGTTTTCTCGCAAATTTGCCGTCGATTTTTGATTTAAAGCCCGTAACGAACTCTGTAAACTAATTAGTCGAGTCGAGGAAAACGCGACATCTTTGAGGCCCTGTTTTTTTTTACAGCCGGCATTAACGATAAAACGACCGAGGAGCTGCAGACTCTAAAAGTCTCGAAAAGTATTAGCGATTGGCGCGCAAAGGTTCTCGGGGGAGGACGCATCAAGCACGATCCCCAAGCGAAGACCATCAACGTTTACGGATACTCGCAGGTAATTTTTGATTTTTTAGCCCCCTGGCCTTATTTAGCTCCAACCGGAAAGTTTTCAGAGAAACGTTTCTTTTATAACCAATCATGAAATAAATTTCCTGCGTGATAATTGTATTAGAACTGAATGGGGGCGTCGCTGTGGTCGGTAAATTATCATCTAAAATTCAATTTGTAGGTCCATTCATTGCCGCGTTTCTTGCCTATTGAACGAATTTACAATTAAAAACAAATACGAGTTAGACGCAAAGTTCATTAAACATCTGTTTATTAATTAAATGTCTACGTTTTTTTTTTTAGAGAGATTTTAGAACCGCTTTTGTTTCGTGATCAGAAAGTTGGTTGTTTTTAATGGTTACCTCCGAACTATTGTTTTCGATGTGCAGAAAAACGTTTTAGATAATTACTTTACTGCACAGGGTGCCTATACGCATAATAATTTAACACCTTGTAGAAAAAGGTATACTTGAATATCGGAAACTTCAACTATTTTGGAGGGTTTTTCATTATATTTTGACACCCACCTACGAAATAGAAAGAAATTTTGATGAAGACCTCAATGTATTACTTTACTCTCAGGGTAAATTATTATACCATTACGACACTTGACATCATGACTTCTACTTCTACTGATGTTAAAAAATTATCCGGATAATCCTATTTATATTCAGTGAACGCTAAAATGTTGTAAGTTTCACCCGTTTAAGTTCCTTCAAGTGCACAATTTAAGCGATGAGACTGGAATTTTGCACCGAAATGTATAGAAGATCTCAAGAAGGTGGAAATTTTCTAAACAAAATAATATTTACGGATGAGGCTTCGTTCACAATAGCAGGTGTATTTAATATAATAAACATCTTTGCTCAGTATAACCCATAAGTTATTTAACTCACGCTGCAGATCTTTAGTTTTGATTAGTCGTCAAAAGTAGAACATTAAGCCCTCAAGCCTCCCCATCGGGGTCTTATTTACCACTTCCGAACGCGAAACGGAAAGAGACACGCCCACGCTCAGGCGGATGTGGCTTAGAACCGGCCTAGCGTTACTACTACTACTACGCCAAATTTGATAAAAAAAAAATTGACGAGAAATTTTAATTTTTCATAACCAAACATATAATAAAGTTTCTGCGGTGGCGTGTTTTTTTACAGTAAAAAAATAATGGCGTGAAACATTTTATATTTATACTAAATTGCATTAGAGCTGACTGCCGGGGTCGCTGTGGTCGGCAAATTATCATTTACAATTCAACGCCGCGTTTCTTGCGTATTGAACGGTCGTAGAATGATTAGTTTCCAATTAATAATAAATACGAGTTGGAGGCAAAGTTTAGGAAATATTTTTTTTTGAGATTTTGAAATTGTTTGCGTATAGTAGAACCGCTTTTGTTTCGTGATCAGGAAGTTGGTTGTTTTTAATGGTTACCTCCCTAAACAAAACTCATTACCCATCTACAGGGTTAATTTTTAAACAGAATAAAAAGTGTAAATGCAAAAGTTTGAAGATTTTTGCTCTATTATCTTATGCAAATGTCAGAAACTACAAACGACGATCACAAGCTATTATCGTTTTTTTTTAAATAGAATATTTCAGTTTAAAAATAACTATCATTCGATTTCTAGACCATAACTATATTGTTTAAAAAGGCCAAGTCTGCCTTGATAACCACCATATTATTTACTTACTTTTGACAACTAATCAAAACTGCAGTGTATGTTAAATAACCCAAGATATTTCAATTGGGTTGTACTGAGGAAAAAAACGCCAAACAATAAAATTATATTATTCAAATGGACATAATGTTGCAGGGGTTTAAAGAGAATATCGACAAATATATCCGGGTAGAAGCGTTCCGTCAATAAATAGAATTAAAAATCTGATTTAACAATTTGAGGACCGAAATAGTGGTATACGAAAGACCGGGGTAATAAAAAGAAATTTTGATGAAGACCTCAATTACGACACTTGACATCATGAATTTAAGTTTTAATTTCTTGATTTTATATTATATTATATACCTGACGTTGAAAAAATTATCCGGACCGGTATAGTTCCTTTCAGTGCAAAATTTAACCGACGAACATAAAAAGCAGAGGCTCGAATTGTGGACTGAAATGTATAGAAGATCTCAAGAAGATGGAAATTTTCTAAACAAACCAATATTTACGGATGAGGCTTCGTTCACAACAGCAGGTGTATTTAATAGGAATAATAAGAAATTTTGGTCCACTAATAATCCACACAAAATGCAGGCAGTGAAAATCCAAGGTCGGGCGTCAGTTAATGTATGGTGTGCTATGTTGAACAATATGGTGGTCGGACCAATTATATACGAAGGATCCTTGAAGGGCCAAACATATTTTAATTTCCTTGCAACAGAAATAGAACAGTTGTTACAGTTAAGAACTATTTAAATTTGATTTGGCATCAAGATGGCGCACCTCCTCATAATGTCCAACCGGTTACCGATTATCTAAATAGTGAATATAGACTTTGGATAGATTTGCAACAGTCCCGACCTGAATCCTTGTGACATTTTATGTGGGGATACTAAAAGAATGAAATTTATTAGAATAGGCCTGAAAGTGTACAAGTGATAGCAGAAAGGCTTAATATAATTTTAAAAGATTTAAACGGAGTAAACCTGATATCTTAGGTTCTTTAACTCACGCTGCAGATCTTTACTTTTAATTAGTTGTCAAAATTTTTCAAAATTACCAATTAAGGTGGGTGTCATAATATAAGGAATAACCCAGTACGTACGCTTTAATAATCAATTGAAATAATTAAAAACAATTTCCAACTACTTTCTTTACGGCCTCATTTCCCCGTAGGGCTTATAGGGAAAAAAAAGATAGGAATTTGTTATGTAATTTTTCGTGTTCTGTCTAGTTTCCAGAGACCTCCCACATTTTTCCGCGAACTCTCGCTTGTAAAAGTATGTTTTTCCTACTCCAATTAGCTGCGTCTTACTTTGCTTATCGGTATTCATTACTCCTTAGACTTGATTAACTCTTTTGCGCTGCGAAAGCCTGAGCTTGTAATCGTTTGGTGTGGGCACAAGGAGTACATCAAAGGCCGCATCTCTTTTGCGATATGATTTGTTAAAAATTGAAGTACGCGCTTCATTTTAGAAACGCGTTCCAGGCACAGGAAGTAAAGCTAATCTTTCTTTTCATACCGATAGGAGACTTTTTTGATCGAGTAATCTGCACTCCGGCTTATCCTCGCATCACTCAAATTTCAAATTAACCACGCTTTTCTTTTCTTCTTAGACTAACTTTTTATAAGCGCAAACTTGGATTTTTCGTTCTCTAAAAAAACTGGAACTATAACAGACCCATTGGAAACTTTTCAAAATTAACTTGCTAGCGATGGTAGTTACTTTCAGCGGTAAGCACCACCCTGTTTTCTTTTCAGGGTTACGGGAAAGCTGACCACAAGCAAACGGTCGACATATTGAAATCGCAGTACCCGGACTACAGCATCACGTGGGCCGATGAAGGGTATTGACTTGCCACCATCACTTGGGGGTACCAAAGGAGGTAACCATCCTCCCTTTCTGCGGTATTATTTTTGTGTGCGGATGCGATATTGTGTGCGTAATAAACGACATAATGACGTAAGTAGTGTCATTTGATGTGGGTCGATCAACCCATGTCGAAAACCTACTGACATCTCCCGGTCGATCGGGATTAGAGGAAGGGCGTGTAAAGGAGTATAATTTTTGTTGTCCGCCGTTCGCGCGTCCTACTTTTTAGTTAAAAGTTTTCGAAAGCAAAATCCATAACGGAAATTTTATTAACGTCCGCTGAACAAGTGGGAAGTTTGCGGGGGTGCGGTGCGATGCTCGAAATGTTGCCTAATAAGTTTTCGGCGGAGAGGGGGGGGCAGGTTCGTGAAGCGTATCCCCCCTCCCCCCATTTCCCTCCCATCGCTGCCGCAATGTTTGGTCCCGTGATGACGCCAAGTTTCGCTATGTGGACGGGGGTTGTTTCCTTTTATGGGGTTAATGCCGCATTACACGGGTTTGTTTGCTCGCGACTTCGTTTAAACTTAGGGTTAAGTGAGAAATTTAAACGTGCGTCGTCGCGTGGTAAGGGTGGCTCGTCACTGGTTCCTTTCTGTTTTTAGAGTGATATCTCGAAACTCGTATGGAAAATAACCAAATCTGCATACCATAAGGCAAGGGATCCTCAACAGGATGTGTTTAATTATTAAAAAATATATTTTTTAATCCCTTAATTATACACCGATCTAGCGTGCGGGAAGCGTCACTTTACCACGTGGGTTTCTTGTTCCACGGACCCGAGCCTCTCCGGCCATTTCCGAGATATGGGAGCAATCGAATGTTTTCGGGGATTTTACCGCACCGGTTAAATTTTGACGTTTGTCAATTCTGACGGTCATGTCGGCGAATGTAATCGTGTTTTTTTTTTAAATGTACCCAAAAAGTAATATACAGAAAAATGTTATACAATATATCAGACAATTTAAATACTAAGTGACATTTATAATTTAAGTGTACACTGAAGGATTTCTAATTTCTTCCACAGTTTTTTTGACGTGACGTCCTTGTGTTTCTCAGTGCGCCATGATGTTAATAATTCTATGCGGTTCCACGGCAACTGATGGATCTTGTTGCTCAGTTATATATATATATATATATATATATATATATATATATATATATATATATATATATATATATATATATATATATATATATATATATATATATATATATATATATATATATATATATATATATATATATATATATATATATATATATATATATATATATATATATATATATATATATATATATATATATATATATATATATTTATATTAAAGTGTGTAATATAGAGTCGATTTTTCTCAAAATTTCCACGTATTAATTAAGAGACACGCTGTATTGTTAGCAATATTCGTATATCTGGAGTATTATATCTTTAAAAGAATTAGTATCGTGTCTTTGCTATCTAAGAGATACCTAATATTGCCAACAAGTGACCTACTGCGGGCAGCTTTAAATCCAACAAGAATTTATACGGGTGTTATCTTATATCTCGAGTATCTCAAAAAATATGTAAAATTTAAATATAAGATAAATTACAAACTTACTTGGTTTTTGATCCTAGAATTGATAAATGAATAAAAAAAAACGGAGTTCCATTTGAAAATCTTGAGATTTTGTTAATTAGATTCGCCAAAACGGCACCACCTATTTGGGACACCCTGTATAAGCTGAAGCGCATCTGTCAAATTGATTGAGTAGTGCATCATCTCTTTAGTCTTTAATTTTCGTTGCAATAACTGGATTTGTTAAGAAAGTAACCTTTATTTTAACCAAGAATTTCAAAAATGCCGAAATATACAGAGTGAAATTATGATATTTTAAATCTTCAAGAGAGTCCAAGAAACTTTTTGTACCAGATCCAGATCGTATAATGGGTCGTTTTATTTGGCACACGGTGTTCATTCTTCACGACTGCGAGATTCTCGTCCGTTTCGCCGTCCGAGGTCGCACCAACGATTCTATGATCTTGTCCAGGGTGCGAGCGAGACGGCGCTTGTTTACAATAATCGGGGACAACGAAACACCGTCGATCCCCATAAATATCCCCCCCGAGGAGAGACAAAGCCGACCCGCCGTCAATGCACGCTTATTATTTCAGAGCCTCGGGGTGGTTTTTCGAGTTCAACACTTTTCTATATGCGACGAGGCGTATCGTTTTTTTTAGCCCCATTCTTAAATCCATTAGGCGCGGGAGACCGGCTGTGGAGGAGGGAGGTGGAAGTCGGAGGCTCTCCGCTATAGATGGAAATATCAACATCAATCTTGTGTCCCTCGCAACGCGCTATTTACTGCCGCATCGGTCATTTTAGCGGATATATCGGAAAGCTGCATCGATCAATTAGTAGATTGGACCGACATCAACCGTGTTGCCCGAACGCTTGGCGGAGTGGGGGTAATTAAAATGGTTCCACGCGAGGTTTTCCAAAAAATTCAATTTAAACCCGCTGTTTACTGAAATAGCTCGATATGTGGGTCGTTATTTATTTATTGATTAACTGATGCAAATGTAACAACTTTGCCTTCGATCCATGTAAATATAATATGTTTTTTCTACTCCCGTTTGTAAAATATCTAATTATAAACCGATCTAGCGTGCTGGACGGTCACTTTACCACGTCAGTTTCGTTTCCCACGGATTCGAGCTACTTCGGACATTTTCGGGATTTTACCGCACCCGTTTGGGAGCAATCGGATGTTTTTGGAGATATTTCCCGCGCCTTGAATTTTGACGCTTGTCAATTCTGGCGATCATGTCAGTGAATATATGTTGTTTTGCGAAAATATGCCCAAAAACTAACGGTCGTAGAAAAAGTATAGTATGCAACACGTTCGGTAAACTTTTTAACTCACTCGTTTATTAAAAACTCGGTCCGCCCGTGTCAAATAAACTCGTGAGTCAAATGCCGTTTACCACACTTGTTGCATAATATACTATAAGTCATTCGCTCCGCTCGTGTTCAATAAACGCGTAAGTCAAATGCCGTTTACCGCACTTGTTGCATAATATACTATAAGTCATTCGCTCCGCTCTTGTCCAATAAACGCGTGAGTCAAATGCCGTTTACCGCACTTGTTGCATAATATACTATTTTCTACTCCCGTCTGAAAAATACCTAATTACACATCGATCTAGCTTGCAGGAAGCGTCCCACGTCCCACGTTACCACGTCAGTTTCGTTCCCCACGGATCCGAGCCCCTTCGGACATTTCCGTTATTTTACTGCACGAGTTTGGGGTGTTATTTTGCGAAAATGTATCCAAAAACTAACGGTCGTAGAAAAAGTATAGTATGCAACACGTTCGGTAAACTTTTTAACCCAGTTAAACAAGCACAAACATTGTTCAGATTTTCACATAAATATATTTAAATGACAGCTGTTTCGGCAACACCGTGCCTTTATCACAAACAGCTGTCATGTAAATATGTTTATGTGAAAATCCGAACAATGTTTTTTCTTATTTAACTATTTTAAATGGATTTTCATCAAGTAAAAGCCACTTCAGTACAACTTTTTAACTCACTCCTTTTTTAAACACGCTCTCCGCTCGCGACAAATAAACTCAAATGTACTATTTATACCACTAATGACATTTATACTCTTATTATTATAGCTTGTTGATTTATTAGTATTGCAATATTCACAAAATTCGTTAATGTTAAATTACAACTTAGATCAAGGTCTTATGCTGGATTTCGACCTTTTTTAATTATTTTAGTTTATATAAGTATGAAGTAAATTTTATCTAATATATTAAAGTATCTCAATAATAAATATTATGTATTTCTCGTCACAATAGCCGGCGCCATATTAATTACCTGGCCAGTGAAAAGCCGCGCGTATATAAGCACAGTCGACTCCGAATGCACGCCGACGCGAGAATCCGCCAAGCACGGACCCCGAACCGGAATAATCCGGCTAGCGAATTAAGGACGGCTTACGTGTATTTAATAAATTAGGTCTGTCGCAGCGAGACTGCGTTCGTGGGAATGCTGCGGTCGACGTCATCCCCTGTTGAACTAAGCGTAGCGTAAAGAATTCGCAGGCAGACTCGTTATTAAAGTAGTAGCGTCGTCTATGCGGCACGTCCCCCTCTCCTTTGTTTCCGATAGTCACGCCTCCTTTCTGGGTACGCCCCTAATTTGCCATATCATTCAAAAGGAAATAGCTGTTACCGTGTAACAAGTCTTAAGCTGGGTCCAGACGGGTAACTGAACCTCGTAACGTAACCTGCTACGCGTAACATTTTATGTTCATTTTGGACTTGTGTATCGGTTGTCAGTAAAGTGGCGAACCATCAAAGAAACCTTCGAAGTAGTGACACGCGTTGATGTTACAGCGTCTGGATGAAAACTCGAGCAAGTCGTCAGTCGAACTTTGTAATTGTTTAGTCTTGTAAAAAATCACCTATCTACATGTCCGAGAGTACGGCTCTTGTAAAAATGGAGAGGTCGAAAGAAAAAACCCTTCGAATTTATACTCTGTGTCAAATACTAAAAGTTAAATACATTAATTTCTAATTCGAAATGATTTTTACCTTATAACTTGCTTGAAAAATGAGTTTTGTTTTCAAAAATGAAGTTAATTTTTTGTCTTTTAATTCTTCCACGAACGCTTGGTAGACATCTGGAATTATAACACTTTGGATTATTTGGAAATTTTAAAATACTGCAAACTACTATTCGAATCCCCAAGTTGCCAAAGACCGTAATGTCATTGCCAATCTATCTTGTACTGAAATATTGGTATTTTCTTTCACTATTTTTGAGTCCATAAAATTGATAAAAAATTCAATATATATATAATTTCCATTAACTGACCGAAATTTCAAATCACACACTAAACTTTTTTGATCTCTTTTCGAAAGGTTTGCCATCAGCGCCTTTGTCTTTTATTCTTATTTTTTAAAGCAAAATGCACATAAATATATGCCGCAGCAGCTACTTCGTCATCGTAATGT